TTATTAAGAAAAGGTAACATGCTCCGTGGGGTCACCTGAAAGCAGTTCCCTTGTTAATGATCTGGTCTCTCTCCTGATATGTACATTTAACTCCCGTAGCATAAATACGCAGTTGGCAGAGCCTTTCATCTTAGGTTCTCTGATAGCCACGTGGACATTCTTTAAACTGTTGAGTTTAAACTCCATCTTTGTGTGGGATTAAACATAAAAAAGCATTTTCATCTAGATTTTGCCTTTTAGTATGCCTTAATCCGGTCCGGACAACAGCCATTAGTAGTCCTGACACGCAGTTTCTCATTCATTTTATTTCTGTAATACATTGTTGCAAGGTTTGTTTTTTTTTTTTTTTTTAAAGATCTATTAAAAAGTAGAGGACAGCAGAAGGATACAAAGTACTAATACGATTTATTTGAAAACAGGTGGAGAGTCTGTCCCACCCCTGCAGGACCTGAATTTAGGTAGTGTGACATGCAGCACCAAGTGCTTTCACTTGCTGCCTGTATGTAGTAAACTGGCAAACAAATTAGAGCATTATGGCTCCTATGAGTCCTTAACTGCCCTCTGGAGACCAGCACAGGCAGTGAGTGAAAGTACTTGCAAATACTGTTGTGCCAACTCAGTGTAAGCAGTGACAGAAAATACTTACATAAAGCCTTCCTTCCTCTTCTCCATGCAGGTTTTTCCTCTTTTCTGGGTAAGATGCTATCCTAATTTTGGACACTGCAGTCCTATTACCTCCCTCCTGCCAAAGAAATGGGGATCTCTTTCTGTGCAAGCAGGTGGCCCAACAGGAATCTGCAAGTTCAGGAAGCTATGAATTTGGGGCAGTTAGCAATGTCTTATCATTAGATAAGGCCAATGGGAAAAGCAGGATTAAGTGTTGGTGGAGCAGTTTGTTTCCATACGCTTGGTGTTCAGGGTTGGCTTTGCTGAGATATTACATTTGACTCCGTTCCGGGCAGCTTCTGACATCCACAGTGTATACATTTACTTGGTATTTCTGGAGTGCTAGAGCTCTGAGACTGGATTCAGGTTTTAGAGGAGATGATGGTAACTTCTGCAAAGGAATGAGAGTCGTCTGAAAGAACTGCCGTGGAGCTGAAGCTCCCCATGTAGACAGAGCAGAGTGACAAGCAGAAATACTTGTGCAATAATCCAAAGGGAAGTAGGTGGTGTGAGAGCCCTAAATGCTTCCTTTAGCTGTCCAGCCCAGCCTTCATGCATTTGTTCTAGAGTATGAAAACCCAGCGCAGAAACAGATGAGAAAGTTATGGTATGCAACCATTTTAATTGAGTAGGCTATTTTTATTATTGACGTGAAATTAAATACCCAGAATGGCACAAGCTGTGAGTAAGAGTATAAGAACAGCAGTCTTGGGGCAGATCAAAGGTTTGACTGGTATCTGGAGCCTGAGGTGCATGCATACAGGAGTATACAGGAACTGGGCAGCGTATGTGATCTTTCTTCCTACTCCTCTCCCAGCCTCCAGACAATTTTTGCCCAGAGCCTTCGTGGTTTCAGTGTGGTTTTTGTGCTTTTAATATCCACAGTGGTTTTTGTTTCTGTGAATGTGTTCAGTCTCCTTAGTTGGATTTATTAAAATATATTAGGTGATTTTATTAACACCAAAATGGTAATTGATGTAAAAATTAGAATAACAGTGGTTGCAGTATTAGAGAGGTTGTTTAATGCGAAGGAGCCACCCTGGCCTGTTTATTTTACATAGTGATAATAATCAATGGTAAGGGTTGTCATTTCTTCAGGATAGCAGGAGGAAGACAACTCTGTTGGAAGGGTCAAAGTACTGGTTAGTGGGAAACTCCAGTTTCCTTTATCTGGAATTTTCTCTATTTTCCGTAATTTTCACCCGGGACTGTAAAGTGCCTGAATATTCATTTATAACTCAAGCTGATTCTCACTGCGGAGGTGGGAGATGTTTTGGCTGGATGATTTGGGTCCTAAATTATGATTGCTGACTCCAGACCACATATTTTTCTAAGTTTCAAATGAAGTGAGCTGAAAGCTAGGAATGTGGTCCCATTTCCACAGATACTGAGTTCAGCAAGCCTTTGATAGAGATAATTGTGATGGAGCATCACAGAATAAGATAGCTGAAATTGTCTTCTCTTTCTAGTGTAAGTATTTAAGTGTTAACAGTATTACAAAGCAGTTTTATCTGGTAAGTTAATTGCCTCCCTAGTAATTCATAGTTATTTACTCATTCAAATGGCTTAATATTTCATCAGGGAAGATTTGATTTTCAGATTCATAATTATGGTGGCTTTAGCCCCCTCATAGGTCACTTTAACTTCAGTTGTGGTCCTGGTGGGGAAGGGGTGTTGAGATCTAGGTGGAAATCCTGTACGCATTTATATAGTCTACTTTCTGAACTTGTTTAAGCAGCAAATTGTTCAGGATAAGAGTGTGAAAGGACCTGTGGTTCCTGTCTATGAAATAAGGGACAAGGTGACAACAAAAACCTGCACGAGGAAGCAAAGGACATGACTAAGAAAGGTTTGCTGAAAAGAGTGATGGGGGGTATTTGGGATGACACCAGGATGGTGGGTGCAATAACAGCTTCCCATAGCAGAGGACTCCCAAGTTTGGAAGGCTAAAGAGTGGACAAAAATGTTTCCATTAGTCAGAAAGAGTCTCCTTTCACACAATGTGGGCTCTGCATCATTGCCTTTTGTTACTTCTAGCTGACCAACCATGGGGTGGGTTTAATTTCTCAGTCTCCAGTTACACTTCATAGCTCAGCTGTCTGGGTAGTATTAGCTCGTATTCACACCTGGAGATTTTTTAAAAATACCCCTATTGGGTTATGGAAACCACAGTAAGCAATGGCATCTGGTCTGCAGACCTTATCAGCAGAGAGCTGCTGTCAGCTTCACTTAGAGGAGCACTAGTACTCATGAGTACTTTCCGTGCTTAAGTGGATGGTCTTGAAGCACTGTAAAAATGACAAATGAAAGCTCAGCTTCTCTCTGAGAGTACAGTCTGCATGGTGGGAGGTGGTGTGATCAAGAGGAAAAGATGATATTCCAGCTCTGAGCTCTGCTGCTGAGCTTGGGCACATCCTGTTGCCTCTCTGTGCCTCAGCATGGTCCCTTCTTTCTGCGTGTTTCAACCAGAAGCAGTTTGAGCAGGAGCAACTTTTGGAAACGGTAGTTGTCCAGCAGTGGCAGATCCTCTTCGTGAGTTTTCTTGCTCCTTAACCTCTGTCTTCCCTCCCACGGGTGTGCCCAGCTGAACTATTGATGCTTTACCCAGCTCAGTGAAACATTGATGAAATTACCTGTCTGGGAACAACACATGGGGGAGGATATTTTTTTAAACCCAGATAATTTCAAAGACTGATTTTAGATTGTGGCCACACAGACAGTTACACTGGACCAGCTGAAGCACTAATAACCCAAATGCGGAGGGAGGAAGGAAACAGGAACCTCTTAAGCTGGACTGGGCCAGGATAATACATACCATGGTGGGACCACAGTCTTGCCACGTGCCTGTGCTGCTCTTACTGCAGCCCTCTCAAGGGGCTAATGCAGTCTGTGCTACAGACGGCTCCTTGGCATTGCTGATGTTGGTACCCCCCTTTCTACAGGCTGGGTAGAAGAGGCCTGGAGGGGTGAAGCGATGCTTCCAAATCCACATGGCAGGGAGTTAGCACAGCAAAAAGTAAAAGCCAGGAGCCTGCTGTTAGCACTGTGCCCTGCTGTGCAGCTGCAGCTAAACTCTTTTTAAGTTGGTAAATCATCTGGTAGTGTCAGCTGGGACCTGGAAGCATAAATGGAGGAAGATGAAAAAGCATCAGCTGGAAAGTTGCAAACCAACTTTTCTAGCCTGACAACAGAGCCAGTTTGTGTTCTGGGAGATTTGTTCCCTCTTCAGCGATTTCAGTATTGGCTGATGGTTTGTTATTGGAGCCAACTGTCATTCATTGCAAGGAAAATGCCCATCTGTCTCATGTGTTTACTTGTAGTTGACAGTGTTGGAATTATACATTAGCACTATGACCTACCAGCATAAGTTCACAAGTGAAGCCTTTAAGAAGAAGCAGATTTTTGTCACAGGCGACTTTTGTTAACCATAAAATACATGCATAATCTGAAATATGTTCCAGACACTGGCTTCCTGCATCCATACCCAGTCGTCACAACCTTTCTTTTTAAAGGAATCCAAGCCCATAAAAAATAAGTAAACCCAAAATGAAAAAATTAATATTCTTCCAAGCAGGCTTCATTATGCATGGAAATGAGGTGTCTTAGAGAGTCTGTTAAAAAAAAAGTATCACAAGCAGTATCACAAACTACAGCCTGTCAACTACTCTGTCAAGTCAGCGATTTTGCACCAGACTGTCTGTCTGGAGAGGTGGTGGGGTTGAGAGAGAGGGGGATGTGGAGTTGGAACAGGCTGCCTGTATCAGCCAGGCCAGGCTCTTGTTAGCACGTGACAGCCGTGAATGAGAGCATCCAGAATTGCCAAGTGAGAACAACAGTCCCTGCCAATCTTTTCAGGACTCTTGAGTGCACCAAGAGGCCTGATCCTGAGTTCGCTGAAAGCAGAAGGAACCTTTCCACTGGTTTCAGCAGGCTTGGGATCATGAGATGAAAAATGAGGGAAAGATCCTTTAATCCTCTAATCTCTTCAAAGTATTACGGTTTTTAGCAGGTGATTTTCTTCCAGATGAGCAATATGGTTTCTGTGTTGACAACATCTCCTTAAATAGCAGCAAATATGGATATGGCCTACTTAGAAAGAGGTTTTTCTGGACCCTATGGGAGAACCTAATGTTTTATGGACACAAAAATGTCTTGTGAACACTTGAGACTTGATGCCCAGCCTGATGCTGGTACGAGTGCAGTTACCCAAGGTGCACTGCTATAACTGAGCTGTATTTAGAGCCCGTGAAACACATGCACAGCCATCCATGCCCACTAGTATAGATTCCTGCCTGCACTTTCCCTGAACTGTTGCAGCTAGTTATTCAAACCTGCATATGTGATGTTCATCAGAGTCTGCTTCTTCCCCTGCAGCTGCAATGCTGAGACTGCTGCCAAATCCCCCTCCAAGGGACAGCATGATCTGAGGGAAGCTGATCTCCCACCTCCAGAGGACAGCCAGCAGCCCACAGCGATGTCCATGGCAACAGAGACCTGGGAGGACAAGCCAAGCAATGAGACATCCAGTGACACTCCACCAGCAGGGAATGTAAGGGAGACGGGTTCCCCCCTCATATTTAGCATGTGCTTAGGACTTTTTTATTGTTAGAAGCTCTAAAGGATCCCTTCATTGTAGTAGGAACTGGCCAGACTGGGAGTCTGGCCACTGAAATCACAACAACTCCCATGAGTGATTAAACTCTGTTAGAAGCATTTCTAGTGCCTTTTTTATTACAGTTAATGAAACAGTAGTCAGTTTTGTGCCCTTGCCTATCTGCTGCTGCATCTCCTGCAGGGAGTTCAGCAATAAGTCCTTTATGGCTTTCGCTGTGCCACCAGCCCCTCATTGCTGGACTGCCGGGGAGATCAGACAGACTCCCTCCTAGTCCCTGCTTGGTCAAACCGCTAAAGTAGGTAGGGCATAGAGGCTGGAGTTCCTGACCCCACAGCACTGAAACGTTCACAGGACAGAGCTTGGATCCCTGGAAGACAGGCTTAACACCCTTAGGCCCTTAGCCAAGACTGTGCTGTTGACTTCTTCATGGTTATTTGACAGCTGTGATCCAGTCACCACGGAGCTAAACAACAGCAGAGGGCAAGGGGTCCTTAATGTTAGGGCTAAGCAAGACAGAGGGACCGGAGGGGACAGATTTCCCAATGATCATGTAGCAGAACTGCATTTACAATTCCACTGCTGTTGAATTGTCTTTTCCCTCCTTTGGCAACTGAAGTCCAGTGGCTGCAAACCAGCTGCTGCTTTGACTACCTCCTTGCTCCAAAGCCACTTGCTTTTCTTGCAGACTCCCAGTCCCAGCTGCCGCCGATCCAGCTCCGACATCGTCCATGAGAGCACGGATGGTGCCAAGGCCCAGCGGGAGTGCCGGCTGCGGCCGCACTTCAGTGACCCTATGCCAACAGACTCGGTGAAGAGGAAGCAGCTGGAGCTGAAGATTGCAGCTGCAGCACGGCAGCACGCACAGAAGCGCCGGCAGGAGCGAGACTACGGTACCCACATTCTGCACGCTCAGAGGGGGTTTATGGGCCAGATGCTGAGCTGGTGTAAATGTGAAGTGACTCTAATGACCTGGGGGAGGGAAGCATTCTGGGTTTAATCCAGGTGTTCAAGAAATCAGGATCTACTCTGCTGTGTCTCTGTCCCTGCCTGGGACAATGGGGGAGAGAGACCAAATGTGTTCACAGGTATGGGCAGAGCAGGGATGACAGGTCTCACCTCAGAGTCATTTAATTTTGACCCTTGCCCTTCCCAGCAGCAAAACAGGAGTGGGACAGCTAACAGCCCTGCTTTCACCAGATCTCCCCCACCAGGTTTCCTACTACACATGGCTATGCCAGCTTGAGCTCCTCAGGTAGGCTCTGTGCACCTGGCAGTGCCTGTAATGGTTTGTGTCTGTTCTCAGGTCCAGTGGTAGCAAAAGCCAACCTTGGCCATGGTGGCAGCTTTGATGAGACCCGCCGTGCTTCACGTGGTTCCTCCCTCCGCTCCAGGCATCACTGGAGCAATGTCAGCAGCCTGAGCACGGACAGTGGGATTGTTGGTGTGAATGATGTCCGGGATGACCTGGATCCCAGTGAGGCCACCCGGACCAAATCAGTGGATGTGGAGAGGGCAGATAGTGGCATTGGCCAGATGTCAGCCAGGAAGTGGAGGAGCAGGGCATCTGAAACGCTGAGCTCCCTGCAGGCATGGGAAGCCCACCGTCCCTGCACCGACTGTGGAGAAAGGGACCTCCCGGTGGAGACGGATGTGCAGAACTGCAACCAGAGGCGGGCAGACCTCTGCGAGAAGTGTCGCAAGCGCAGGACTGAGCGCAAGGAGTCTGTGCTGGAGTTTGTCAACACAGAGGCCAGCTACGGAGAGGACCTGCGCATCATCAAAGAGGAGTTCTACCTCCCCATGCAGGCTGCTGGGCTGCTAACCCAGGAACAGCTCTTGGGCATCTTCAGCAACATCCAGGAGCTCATTGACCTCAACGAGAACTTCCTGGAGGTACTCCAGGAAGAGATCGATCAGGCCTTTGACCAGGTATGATGCTGCGTGCTCTACAGGGGCTGGACCAGGCAGACAGGAATAGGTTTTGCATTAGTGAGGCAGCGTAGATGGAGCAAGGAATCGGGAGGTAGGACTCTGGGTTCTGGTCATCTGCCCGGTCCCTTCCTCCCTCAGCTATTATAAACCAGTGATTTCCTGTGCCAGATCACACCTGCTGGTCTCACTCTCTGCTCTTGTAATGACACTGACATTAGCAGGCCATCAGCAGTGTAGCTCATCCTACTAACAGGATCAAACTGTTCCATTACCAAAGTTAGGTTTAAGCCAGTTATCTCGGACAGTTATAAATGCTTGACCATGGGGGCACAAGGCTCAGATTGGTATGGCCACCAGAGGGATGGAGGGGACCAAACAAGCTCACAGGCCGCGCTCTGACCCAACCCTGAGCTGGCTTACTTCAAGCTGGCTTGGCTGTATTTGCCTTGGGTTGCAGTTCACTGCAGCTTTCCTCTAGGCTGGCTGCGGGGCCAGGCACCACAGGCTGCTTGCTGCTCTGGTGACAGTTGGCCCTTACAGCTCTGGGTACCAGTTGCTTCTACTGATGCACCCTGCCTTGCACAAGGGGCTTTTCTACCCCATAAGCATGGCGGTCAGAGGGCAGAGAAATAGAAATGGGACTCTAGAGAGAAATGGGACTCTAGAGCAGCAGACAGTCACAGCAAAGGACACATAAACAGCTCCACACTCCTTTCTTTAAGAAACCAAAACCTACTTGTTGCTGTATCAGTCTCACCAGGAGGTTTTGCTCTCTAGGAAACACATCCCTCCTTTCCCTCACCGAAACCCTGCATGTCAGACTGAGCGACATGTCTCAAAAACTGACAACTTTGACAACCACTGTCATGCACCTGGCACAGTGAAGACAGATGTCCACTGCGGGTGTGATATCCCCTGTGAATAATTTATTGAGACAATGGCTTCTACAGTCAGCCATGGGTTTGTTTCCCTATCTCTTCCTCCTTGTAGCCCTTTGCAGTCAGAGCTCAGTACTGCACCAAAAACCCGCCAGAAGCCAGAGAGCTCTCCCTCTCTTGCTGCTCAAATGAGTAGTGATTGCAGAGCATGTCAGCGTACACCTAGACAAAGCTAAGAGCATTATGTGGCAACAGATTGTTATTATTCTGTTATTTTATAACACATCCAGAAATCAGAGAACAATTTACCATGAAATGTATTTTTCACTTAGACGTCAAAATAGCCAATAAGAGCACAACTGAAGGAAACGGCTTCCCAGCCAAACCAGTTGCTGAGAACAACTGCAGAAGTTGTTAGCTGAGTTACAGGCCTCCTCTGCCCATTTGCCCCTCAGTGCTCTTAATTTGTGCCCTGCTGCGTTAGCCTTATGGCAGACCTGCTGGCAAGAAGGGTCCTGGTACACCCTCCTGACTAGCAGGCTCACTCTGGCCTCTGGCCCTTGAGTCCCTGCTCTGGTGAGCTGGCCGAGCCCACAGAAGCAGAGAAGACATCTCTCTATGTGTAGAAGAGCAAGCAGTTAGACCAGCTTTCCTTCCCCTCCCCCGACACTGCTTCCCCCAGGACCTGCAGGGACTGCCTTTCCACCAGGAAGGGTGAGCCCAGTTCCACCTTTGGTCTGGTGTTCACTGGATCCTGCAGTAGGTTCGTGCTGACAGGACAAAATGCAGGCTCCGTGCTTGTGCCTCTCGCCAGCTAACCCAGCAGGGGCTGTGTTGCGTGCTTGCAGGGTGATGATGACCTGATGACCGTGTGCATCGGTGAAATATTTCTAGAGTTCGTCAACATGCTGCCAGCCTTTCAGACCTACTGTCTTCAGCAGTCCTCCTCCGTGAATATGCTCAACGCGCTGGAGAAGGAGAAAGAGTTGCTCAGGTGAGAAAAGGGCTGACTGTATTCTTCCAGGCTTTGGGGACAGGAAGGCACCAGGCTGAGGGCAAAGCCTTTGTCAGCTCAACTAGATAAAAGTTTTCATGCTAACATTCTTCAGGGATGAGCTGCTTTCTCTTAGGGTGAGCAGGGTAACTCACTCTCCAATATGAACCCCTTGATATCTCCACTGAGGCAGCGTTGGTCCCCAGCTGTATACTGTATTTTGTGGTACCAGTGTTTGCCCACTGACCACTGGGCTGAACTTTCACCAAATAACACCCAGCTGAGAACAGCTCTCAGTCCCTGTGCCAGAGCATGGTTTGGATTTCCACTGGGGAAAGCCACTGTATGAAGCATGCGTGACTTGAATTTGTTTCCCATTCCTAACCCTGGCCTGTTGGGCAATGTCAGGCAAGTCACTTCTCTTTTTCCACTATAACAGCTTAAAACGATGACGGTACCAAATTCTCCTTCAGAGAGCTTTGTAATCTAATGATGAAAGGAGCTACAAATTAATGTAATTTGATATAAGCTGATGTACCTGCCTCAGTCTTACGTCATTGAGTACCAGAGAAAGATCACACCCTCCTTGTTTTACAGTGGCTTAATAGAAGACTGGCAGGATGTTACATGCTAGTGTCTCAGGTAGCTCTTTGCTGTTCTGCAGCTGAGCACAGCTGCAGAAATTGTTGTTAGTTTTTGAGAAGACAGAATTCACAAGGCTGTTAAAACCAGAGAGGGGCTGCAGTGCCAGCAGCTGTCAGCACCATACATTTGCATTTAGGATTGCAGCATCTGCTGGCAGAACAGCCACCACGTCATTTTCTCTTCTTAAATCCCTGCAGAATATTCCTCAATGTCTCCCAGAATGACAACACAGCACTGCGGCGGATGAACTTGAGGTCCTTCCTCATGGCTCCTTTGCAAAGAGTCACCAAGTACCCACTGCTGCTCAGCAGAATCATCAAGGCCACCACCGAGTACCACCCAGATCATGGGAGCCTGCGGGAGGCCAAGAGCCGCATCGAGTCCCACCTGGAGCACATCAACATGAAAACCAAGCAGGAGGGAAACACGTGGACCCTCCGCTCCTTTCGCCAGGACAGCAAGAAGAAGAGGGAAGTCATCAACATTGAGATGAGAGAAACTGCTCTCAAAACCGTAGGTTGGCTGCGGGAGGAAACACGATTTGTGATGGAGGGGTCTCTGCAGCTGGCCCAGCCCCCTGACGGCCAGTGGGTGAAGAAAGGCAGCAAGACCCTGAAGTTCCAGAACATGCAGGTCCTCCTCCTGGTGAACATGAAGCGTGTGTCTGAGTCCAGCCTGGAGTCAGCCGAGCCAGGGCCTGTGAAGGATGCTGTGCTGGTACTCATCAGGGATAAAAATAACGGGAAGTTCCATTTGCTCAGGGAGCCCTTGAGGCTGAGTAATTGCATCGTCTCCACTGATCCTGACTGTGATGACACTTTTGAACTCATTGAGATCAGGCGGGAGGCGTTTGTGTTCCGGGACAGCGACCGGGCCAGGACTCACCACTGGTTCAGGCAGATCAGGCGGTACTCAAGGGAGCTGGGCTCCTGGAAGAAGCGGCGGAACGCGCTGCCCAACATCATGATCAGCACCCCTCACACCAGGCCCTGAGTCGCGCGCGGGCAGCATGCAGGGAGACTTGGCTTGACCAGTGCCACGTGCAAAACACCATCAAGAGACTTGGTGGCTTGAACTTGGTCTGTTCCATGGACAGCACAGGGAGGTGTCTGGACCACAGACTCTTAGTGGCACTGGAAGCACGTGTTACAGCCTAATTCTGGTCTCCAGCCTCAGGACTCACAACCTGTTTGTGGCTGATGTACATACAGAGGTGGGCTTCCCTCGAGGAGCCGATCTCTGGAGAAAAATACTGAGTTTAACTTGTTAATATTTGCACTGTGGGAAAATGATGCTTGCCATTGCATGGATTGTGTTGAAAGCCAGTCTTGACAACATGAGAGAGGTTTCCACCATTGACTATATTTCATCAGCATTAGGTAAAGTCAGGGTCAAAATTAGATGCAGTATTATGCAAGAGGGGAGGAAAGTTGTAGAAAATTATGTTTTCCACTGCTACTCCTAAGGACTATATTTCATTATTCACCTCTGTATATTCAATCAAAATACTTGTTTAAAAAGAAGAGTCTTTCATCTTTAATCCAAATCAAGTAGGTATCAATTTGCTCAGATTCAGCTGCATGCACACAGTAGAGAAAAAAAAAGCAGACAAAAATGAAAGGAGTTGCTCTCTGACACATACACCCTGAATACGTGTAGAACCTGTGGAAGAGCAATATACCCCCACTGAAACTCTGTTATTTAACTGACTTAGGGAGTGGAACATAACACTGCATCTGAAATATCTCAGACGTGTATGTAAATATAGCTCTGCTACCACTACTAGTGAACTTAAAAGTTTGCATAATTTAAATGATGTAATCTAGTGTATTTCAAAATTTAATTGAAAGGAAGAATTTACATTGTACTGTAGAGTAACATAAAAGGTTTTAATAATTACATTTCAATGCCTTTAGGTGGGTATTTTTTTAAATACTTGTTTTCTGGAGTAGATGTTTCGTTTAGTGTGGGTCGATGAACAATGTGCCTACGTCTGTTCTTTGGATCCCCTGGACAGAGTTCAGGGGCTACTCCTAGGGAGACTTGGAGAATGGTACAAGCCTGCTACCCTAATTCTTGCTACACAACAATAGACTGGCACAAAATCTTATGCCCTGGCTGCAGTCCTGCCCGGGCAGGTCAGGCCCCAGAGCAGCAGACATGAGAGCTGAAACTGAGGCCACGGAGTGCTTCCCCGTAAGGTCCAGCCTCTCTCAGTTCCTCAGCAGGGAAATGACTGGAAGCTGAACAATGGTAAAAAGGCAAGCAGGTTTTAACCTTTTCAGCCTGACATTACCACCGACTGTGGCCTTGTGATTACAAGATCAACAAAATGTCACGCTGTGATTTACACAGCAAAGGCCAGATTACAGCCCTAGAGGCTAAATTAAAGGAGCCTGAATTTTTGTCGGTGGGTCTCGCAGGACAGCCTGTAAATGTTCTTTTAGCCCCCCAGGGTAGAGACAAAGCCAACCAGTATTATTCACTCCCAACAAAATATTTCTGTTACAGGCATTTATTTTACAGGAAGATTCACACGAGGAGGCGTATTTGTGTGTTTCTCCAGAGATCACCCAGCATCAGTGAGCACTCAAATGAAGGCAGACAGAGGCTACCTTCACACAGGTAGCCCTAGTCTTGTAAATCACCACTGACCCACGGTGTGAGCAGGCTTCCAAACCATGTGCAGTGCTTTGTCCTCCTGCCGCAGCTGCCCAGGCACTGAGGCAGAACTAGCAGTGAGATGTGTGCACACTGGCTGTAATTTTTTCTTCATCTGCACTGTCCAGTGTTTTTGTCCTTGAGGAAATGGGAGTTGTTGCATCATCCGCGGCTTTACAAACATGTACCCAGGATGCGAGGTTGGCAGCACACAGCTCAGCGCTGTAACGAGCAGCAGCTGGTCAAACCCTTGTTGGGGCAGCAGCCTGACTCCCTCAAGTGAGTTGGAATTCCCTCCAGCTATTTTTAGCCTTTAGACAATAAATTGTTTGTTGCCTCAAAATACACACTGAAGAGGCAGTGAGGAGCACAAGGCATTGCTTTTATAGTTTGTTGTTTGTTTTTCAAATAGATGGATGCCTAAGCAGAGCAGCTGCTGGAGGAAGATTTCTTAAATACTGTCATGAGAGAGCTGCATCTAACAGCCTTCAAGCCCCATTCACTGAACATGCAAAAAGCAGCAGCTTGTAGCACCTTTGTTTTCTCTCCCAAGGTCAAAATGGCACAGCTACCTTCTCTACATTACCTCCAGTGGCAGTTTTGATAAGGGAAGACGTAAGTGCAGTAAGCCTAATAGCTTAACGTATCCAAACAGTGAGTGGCTTTCATAGCCGCAGAAAGCTGCTGATTTCTGGAAGGTTTTCAATTACTTTCCAGCACAGTGATTTTCTCCACACCCATTCATGCTCAAAACCAGCCGTGGACTGTTTGTACAGTCATATCTTTAAATCAAGATACCTTCAGTCACCCTGGCTGTTCAAAAAGGTTAGAGAACAATAAATATATGTACAAGGTCTGATATTTAGCATCAATCTTGCATTTGGGTGATTGTTCAGTTTGTCAGATCCAGGGTTTTTCTAGGTATCACAGGAAACACCTGCCTACCAGGCTCCTAGTAATCATGGCCTGTTTCCTCTGGACCAGGCAAACTCTCCCCAAAAGAAGGTCCATAAATAATTGCCGGCTGTTGAGTTATAAGCAGGACGTGTACTTGGTGCTGTAGCCCTGTCCTAAACAACCTGAGGCCAGGGAACAGTACAGACTCTTTGATCTGGGACAGCCTGCTACGGGAAGGGACAGCCCAATTGTTGAACCTGTCAAACTAGACAGAGGCTTTGCTTCCAATGTAATTTATCTTTTATGTATCCGGTGTGTACTCAGCCGCCTGCCTGCCTTTAAATTACAGGTGTTGAAAGGGAGCACGAGCACAGTACAATTTCTGTGGCCCTGCAAGGGCTCGTGCTGTGGGGTAAGCCTGCACAGGAAGGGTGAGGAGTGTCAGCACACTGGCAAGGCAGTAGGTTTCCATAATCCTCAGGCACCTTTCTGAACTGGATGATCCCTCTCATAGGAAGTTCCAGGTCTTTCAGTATCACATGTGCACATGTTACTTGGCAGCTCTGGCAATTAGTCGTGCTGTATTTTTCCATTTCTGGTTAACCTAACAAAATGCTATTATAGCCTAGGATACTTGAGGACAGGATTGTCTGTAAGCCAAGAAAGCAATTATTTGTTCCAAACCGGCCATCCTAGGGCTCCGTAATATTTTTATGTCCTCTCAGAAGTCATGACTGACAGTGCTAAGATTACTTTTCAAGACTCCTGCCCACTGATCCTACCCTGCTAGTACAAGCAGGCCTCTCCAGAAGTACTGTGTTAGGGGAAAAAAAGAGAAAGATTACTCTGCTTGTTTATGAGAACTCATAAATGACCTTTAACAAGAATTTAGGATGAGTCTTACTGGTCATTTACCAGGAAAACAACAGGCAGTCTTTATCATAGAGTCCATGTAGTTTTGCGCTCACAAGGCAGACACATAAGAAGACACAAAACTGGATTAAGAGCCCCTTCTGAGATCAGGTCCCAAGGAAAGAAGGAATAGCTACTTTAAGAGTCAGCAGGCTGAGTGGGAAAGCCTGAAAAAAACCACAGAGAGATGAAAAGCAATTACTTTAGAGGGCAGAGACTTCAGTGGACAGAGATCTTCTCTTTTATGGTGCTCTTGTACATTCCTGGTTGTCCTTAACAGAAGTGAGGACAGGGAAAGGGTGTTCAGTATAGGTCTTCACTATGTGATCAAGAACACATCTGAAAGGGAGCACCAGCTTTGGTCTGGCAGCAAGAAGCTATTGTAGCTGTCATTGGAGACTGAGAGATTGACCTTGGCACATTCCAAATCCTGTATAAAAAGCTCCAAGACCATTTAAGATCTCCTGCATTAGGGAACTTCAGTCATTCAATGCACGTGAACCTATTATGGAGCTGAAGTCCCAGGAAGGCAGATCTCCATGTCAAAGATATCCTTTCAGGGCTCATGGATGAAGTAGCTGCAGTAACTCTCAGTTTGTGATGTCAGCCATGTCTCCTCTTAAATGTATGCTGGGGAACCAGGTGAGATGCAGCTGGAATTAGGCTGACATTCTCTGACTTGAAATTGGAAAAACATGGAACCAAATGCAATGGAGGAAACTGTCTCCTCACAGAGATCAGATAAATATTTAAAGACCTCACTGTCACCATTGAGTGACCTTCTGTCACTACAGTGGAGTATGACAGAGCAAACAGTCTTACTGATCAGGCAGAGAAAGGAGCTGCTTTATTTCACACACAGGCTGCTGCAGAATATCAATATGACTGCAAGTGGGTACAAGCAATTAAAAAAAAAAATAAAGTTTTGACAATAACACTGCACAGTTCAAAAACTCCTGGCAAGCCTCAAGGGCATTCATTAGAAAAAAAAAAACATCTCCCTCCGGAAGCTGAAGGTCATCCCCTAATAGAAGCCTTTCTACAACATGGATGGAAAAGTTGAGCAACAGTAACAGAGAGGGTCCTCTTCAACAGAGAGTGAAGAATCCTAACAGGGAATCAGAACACAGGCAGAGCATCCTCCAGCACTGATCTCTGCCCAGGCTTGACCGGGAGCAGTTACACAGCCAGAAAAAGTTGAAAAGCTGGCATTAGGCTC